GGAGGGGAGGGGAGGGGAGGGAGAAGTTACCCCTAAGACAAGTAAAAATAAAATAAAAATTAAAGGTTGCTATGAACCTAAAACTGCTCTAAAAGTTAACGTTATTAAAAATACATAAATAGCCGGGCCCTGTGGCTCAGCCTGTAATCCCAGCACTTTGGGAGGCCGAGGTGAGTGGACTGCCTGAGCCCGCGGGTTCGAGACCCGCCTGGGCAGCGAGACCTCATCTCTACAATAAATCAAAAAAAATCAGCCGGGCGTGGTAGCGCATGCCTGTAATTCCAGCTACTTGGAAGCCTGAGGCGGAAGGATGGCCGGAGCCCAGCAGGTCGAGGCTGTGGTGGCCGGGAGCGGCCACTGCACTCCAGTCTGGGCGACAGAGTGAGACTCCAACTCAAAAATAAAAAATAAAAAAATACATAAAGGAAAAAGAAAAGAAACATTTATCCAGAGCTTTGCTGAGTGCTGTTGGTTCCCACTGAGATAACTCAAGACCCCCCCACTCTGAATCTAAGGAATAAAGGGAAGGCAGAAAGCAGACTTGGAGGGAATTAGACTTAGCTTCCTTGCTGTAGGACCCTAGCAAGCAAGACCTCAGCGTTCCCTCACCTCTAAATGAGCAAATACCTACTTCACTGCCTAGCAGGGAAAATGAAATGGGGTAATAATGCACAGTTACCTAGCATAACATAAACTTCAAGATGGTAATTACCATTAGGGACCCCAGAGTGCTCTAGAAGAAAGATTTCCTGCCAAAGGGGTGGGGAGGTGTCATGAGGGGGAAGTCACATAAGGCTGGACTCTGAAGGACCAGGCTACCGCAGAGGTAGCAAATAGACCAAATACAACAAACACCATTTTCTTTGGCCAACCCATTACTTCTTCTTCTTTTTTTTTTTTTTTTTGAGTCGGAGTCTCACTGTTGCCCAGGCTGGAGAGCAGTAGCACTATCATAGCCACAGCAGCCTCTACCTGCTGGGCTAAGGAGATCCTTCACCTCAGCCTTCCGAGTGGCTGGGACTACCGGTACACACCACCATGCCCAGCTTTTTTTTTTTTATTTCTTGTAGAGATGATGTCTCACCATGTTGCCCAGGTTGGTCTTGAACTCCTGGGCTTAAGCAGTCCTCTGGTCTTGGCCTCCAAAAATAGTGGAATTACAGGCATGAGCCACCACGCCCAGCCAGCCCATTACTTCTTAAAATTGTATTTGGTAGTTGCAAACATTTTATTTTATTTTATTTTATTTTTGAGTTGGAGTCTCACTCTGTCGCCCAGACTGGAGTGCAGTGGCCGC